CAAAACAGCACGACCACAAGCACTGGAGGACACACTATGGCTGTGTCCCAATTTAGCGACCGCACGCTTGGAGTACGCATTTTGAGACCTATTACATCACAGATGCCCCAATCCGAAGTGTATTCCAAATGCATACTCCAAATGCGCCGTCGATTTCCCCAAATATCAAGCGTGGTCCGGTGCACGCTTCGTACTGTCTCCAGGTTAAAAACAGTGATACACCACCTGCTGTCAGGCCTTCGGGTATCAGGCTTGTGATGTTCTCCTTTATCTTAGTGGACAGAAATTATTTTTTGGAATGGCAAAAATAACTTGTATGGCATCTTATTTGATGCAGAACACCTGGTTGTTTTGAAAATAGTTTGAAATGGTTATTTAAAAAAACACCTTGGCTGCATTTTTAGATAAATAGCTGCAAAAAACTTTATTGTTTGCAAAACTCAGTAACTTTTTTGAACAAGTAACTAGTAACTTTTTCATTACTTTTTTTAAAATTACTTTTTCAAAATGACTTGCCCAACATTGTCATTATATACTGTATTTTGCAGACAAAGAGTTACAGGACTCTCTCCCAGTGCACAGCAGGAACTTCATGCAGACTCATAATAAAGTCAGAGCTTTATATAAAAAACTGTTAAGTGTGTTTTCAAAATTGTAGTTCAAGTTATTTTACATTCCAATAGTGTTAACATACTACACAGGTCATGACATTTTTTTAATTTTCAAGTTCCAGTATCAATTCGCAGCCTAGTATAGAGCCACAGTAGCACAGTTGTTTAATATCAACCACAAAGATTTTGAGCTGCAGCTCATACTCTGTGTGACTTTCGCCTCAGGCTCTGATAGTAGATTTACAGTAATTTAATGTAAGTTAAATATCGTTCTGACAGAACTTATTGCAGCTGACTGTTAGCAGCTGTTAAGCCTGTTAAAAACAGTTATTATACTTTGATATTTGCTCCTTTTTCTTTTTTTAAATTTATTTATTTATGTTACATTTTAGGGATTAGTCTGGATCAAAGCCATCATTATTTAGGTTGTTCTTGATCTATCTTTTGTCTGCATGATTAAATATGGCAAACATTGTCAGTTACTCTTATCTGTCAGCTGTCAAAGTAAGTAAAAAAACAAACAAACAAAAACAAATAGGACTGAAAGAAGACAGTCTATATTGAACTCAGCAAAAAGAGCAATTACCCAACTTTTTGGATATTATATGTCATTACTATTTAACAACATTAAGTTATTTAATTTTAAATATCCACATGGTTAGTAGCGGCAGCTTTATTGCTGGAATTTGTCCACTGTTATACATCAATCTAAAAAGTTACACCTGCCAGATGTCGATGGCCCCAGTGCGAGACTACAATGGGACCCCGGGCCCCAGAGAACTGCTAAACATCCAACTGAGCTCCCACTACACAACAAAGAGAACCATGCAATGAAATGTAAGTGTCCTGAGGTCAGTACATACCAGGTGCTGGAAAGATAGCTTCGTTTTTATTAATTCTTTTTTTTTTTTATGCTTGTACTGCACCCAGGCCCCACCCTCCAGCATAAGTAGCTCCAGTTAACAATATCACAGTTGTAAAGCGGGGCTGAGACCATGGACAACAATATTTCCTGACAACCAACATTCATCTATTAGGGTTGTCAGGACATAGTGAATGGTAGATGGATTGATTCTTATATAGCACTTTTCTACTCTCCCAGAGTACTCAAAACACTGTATAAAACATGACTCATTCACCCCACTCATACTCCGATGAACTTATCAACTTGGGGTTCGTATCTTGCCCAAGGAAATGTGGCATGCAGACCAGGGAAGCCAAGGATCAAACCACCAACCTTCCAATCAGTAGCTGATGTGCTCCACCACCTGAGCCAAAACCACCCCAGGCTCAAACACACACATGTGTGTGTTTGAGTCAGTGTGTGTTTGAGTCAAACACACATGTAATTTGCAACAAATATTTAGGGAAATCAGAGAAAAATACAATTTGCATAATAATTTGGAACATGGTGTAGATCTAGGGACAAACTGTCATGGCTAGATGACTGAGTCATGTGGGTGTCTTGTGGGGTGTTCCCATCTGCAGTAGTCGGCATCAACAGTGGCCCAAGGAAGGAAGAGTGGTGAAACAGGGACTAATGCACGCAGTGAGTTAAAGGTGGTCTGTGTGGTTCTATCCAACAGAAAAGCGACTGTGGCTCAAACTGCCAAAAAGATGCTGGTGATGCTGGTTCTGAAAGAAAGGTGTCAGAATGCACGGTGCATCGCAGTTTGTGTGAGGAGGAGGCTAACAAATTTGAGGTATTGACTTGGCCTTTAAATTCCTCAGATCTCAGCACACCTTCAGAAGTCCAGTGGAGTCTATACCTCAGTGGGTCAGGGCTGTTTGTCAGTAATAACACCAGTGCACCAATTAGATCTGCAGAGGACTGAAGTAATTATAAGCCAAGGATTTGAGATGTTGGAACACTGCACATAGTGTATTATGTGTATGTGGGCTCCACCCTGTGAAACACTAGAGTGCACACAAAAGCTGAGCACAATAAACAACCATTTTGGATCTGACCTTTATATACAGTACAACCAGAAAAATCACAAGGACATTTGTTTTGGTTTTTTTTAATTACAAATTAACAGATATTGGACAAAAACTTAAACAAATAAACAGTAAAGACTGTAAGTACAAACAGTACTGCTTTTAGTTGTTTGGGTACATGTATGCTTATTGTATGTTTGCTGATTATGCTGTTTTATAACCACGTTCCTTTAAATGTTAAAAAACCACAAGTAACTGCTACAGTAGCAAAAATTAAACACAACTCCTTAATACTAATGTCAAATAACAACTTAACAACGCAAAATACATATAGGGTATACACTGTCTTTTGACTGGGTTTTTCCTGTGCAGCCAGTTGTATTTAGTTTCAGGCAGTAACACGTTAGTGCTCCAGTTCCACCCTCGTGCAGGTTGTAACACGACTACTGTTGGAAATGTTTCAACAACCTGACTTACAGTGAGCTCAAACTGCACCCGTCTCACAGTCAGCGAGTTGAAGTAAAACATGGTTACACACAATTTCTGCGCCATTAGGAAATTCTGCAGAAGTAAATCAACACTGCTTAAAATAGATTATTATGAAGGTGTAATTTTACATTACATATTTCGAAACATTAGTTAATTGTTATTTTGTTTCATTATGTATTTGTTGTAATTAAAATTTACCCTCCAAAAATAAAGATATAATTTTCTAAAAATTGATTACAGAGGTACAAAGCTCCAAAATATTGCATCTACATAGTTTTTAGTGCAAACCACTTTTACTTAAAACCCCCCAAAAACACAACAACATTAACAACAAGGAAATAAAGTAACTAGGAGCAATAGCAGATACACACCTGCACCACTTGATTGTTCTGTTTTTACATTGTTACCCCAGTAAAAGCCAAGCATTCAGAACCAATCTGCATCTTTTACAGTTTAAAGTAAACAATATTAATCTGGAGGGTCTTTTTTCTGTTTTCACGTCTTTCTGCAGACCGTTGCAAGAGTTTTGAACTTTGGTCCGAGGATGTTCAGAAAGTCAATGTTATTGTTTTTGTTGTCACTGCATCTGATAGAGTCAGCTACAGAGCCACGTCCCCTGAATACTGCCCATCCTCTTCTGTTCCCATTTGGAAGACACAGGTAGTTTGTTATTATCACCTGTTATTACTCCCAAGCCTGGATAATAGGAGGAAGCATACAACACTTTCAAAGCTGCTCAGGACATGACTGATGGTCATATATTACACATCGAGCAAACAGATCACCAACAAGTTAGAGAAATAGTATCTTTTTACGAACTTGTTACTCATTAAATTTACATTTATTTAACTGCAGAAAAAGAAACTTCTGCTATCCTATTTTTGAATTTTTATGCAAACTTCTGCAACAAGACATTTTTGTTGGATATATCAAAAACAAATAAATAATATGTTTGTAATAATAAAACAAAATTCCATGATGTAGATAGTGGCCATTTGATTCTCAGTTATAAAGAAAGACCTGGGACAAGAAGTAAATATGGTTTTCTTGTGAAAAACTGGAAACGGAGACATTGGTTGCACATTACTATCCTTACCATGCTGTCCTCTGGAGCCTCTGTGTTATATTTGAGTGGGATTCCTGCAGTGTCTCCGAAGTCATCAAGCTGCAATTTCTCTCTCTTTTTTAGACAGAAAAATACAAGGAGCAGGACTGCAACAAAAAAAGCAGACATATTCAAAACCAGAACTCACATAGTGCTTTAATGTGTGGTATACCCTACACTATTGTATGCAGCATTGTTCACATCCTAATATGCAATGAGCAAACTACAAGAGAACCCCCATCTAACCCTTACAACTTAATCACAGTGGGAGACTCACAGAACAGTAGGAGCAGGACCACAGGACACAGTATAGTCATAATTCCCAGTAGTCCGAAGGACACAGATCTGCAGGAAAAGGTGAATCAGTCATTTTTCCAAGTGTCCAGGCAAACATTTGACACACCCCATCTTACCCATCCCCTCTTTTGACATTGACATTCATAGGGATGGACTGCCACGTGGTACTGCTGCCATTCAGTGATGCTACATTTTGTGCAGTGATCGTCTTCTCATAGTCTAATGGCTGGAAAATAGAAAAGACATTTAAAAGTTTATGAATATAAATCAGTTTTATATAGGCTGACTTTGCATTAAATGTGGTCCATGTAAAAAGCTTCCACCAACGTAACTAAATGATAATAATGAATTTAATAA